AGATTAGAGTTAGGACACGGATAGTATTTTTTTTTTTTTTAATGTCATCTAACAATTTCGTGAAAGCATTATTTGTTCACACGACTTTTAAAATATTTTCGGATGGTATATATTTTATTTTTTTTTTTTTTGGCATTTGTAAATTAGATACTCTTTAGAAATTTTTTTTTTTCTTTTTTTTTTTTTTTTGTATAGCTAAATACGCATTCGATAAATGTAATAAGTGTAATCGATCGAAATAAGTAAGCTTTGGAGATTTTAAATGATACGTATTTTGCTAAAAGTTTGCTGAAACTCTTCAAGTATTGAGTAATTATTTGAAATAGATGAAAATGTTTTAATTTATGTAGCCATTTTGAGAATGAGCAGAGTATGTGTCGTGCGTTATAACAGAGTCGAAGAATAATGAGAAATTTGAAATAAAAGCCGATCACTTAAATGATTACCAAATACTTGAATTTTCGCATGAGTAATATACGTACATTATTTATGCAAAGTACAGTTTTTATTCGAGTGGTGCATCTTTCATACATCTCTTAAACTTTCGAACTTTCTTGTTTATCTATATCGTTATCAAATTGTTCATCGTTGAGAATATTATAATATTTATAGCAAGGATATATACAAACGTACCTTGCCTTAAAACAATAATTTTTTTTTTTTTTTTTTTTTTTAATAGTTACACTTTTTATATGCGTTTCATTGGAGAACGGCATAATAAATTGGCTAAGTAAATTTTGAAATTTCAGAACACGCATTGGTCTTTGGAAATTGGTTTTTGAAAATCTTTGTTATACGGCTATCGTGAATTATTCATGAACATTTAACCATACGTTATTTTGGATACGTAACAGATTTTCCAACACACATTATAAATTCGAGAACGCACATAAATAATTATGCATTGGCACAAACTACTGGCATAATTCCGTATTTTTTAAACAATATTTTTAAAATGAAATCTGTTCTAAATAATTCATATTTGAACGTACATTTATGAAATTGTTCCATATGTATATATGCAAATAAAAGAAAAGAGAAGATAGATCATAATATTTATATCACGAAGAATAAAAAAAAAAAAGAGAGAGATTACTTGAAATGTAAACATGTGTAACTATTGCGATGATGAAGCGTTCGTTAAAATTTGCAAAATTGCAAATATCAGCATTATATATAGTATATTCTCAAAGTCAAATATTTAATTTCAATTTTTAATCATAAATACTAAATCGGTAATAGGTTTTCATACATATTGTAATACGTATAACAACATAATGTTTCGTACCTTGCTTTTTCCCCATGCACATTAGAACGAATCTGGTCATATTTATTTACAAGAGTATAAAATAGATTGCCAAGTGAAAATAAGTAATATAATAATAGTGCATAACTTTCACGCTGCGGGAACACAAGCAGTATAAATGCCCGTGTAATCTCTACTTTGATACAGAAATAATACATATTGTTTCTCTCTCTCTCTCTCTCTCTCTCTCTCTCTGTGTGCTTGTGTGCGTGTGTGTGTGTGTGTGTACTTACGTATGCATATAGGATGAGCGTGTGTGTGTACTTACGTATGCATATAGGATGAGCGTGTGTGTGTACTTACGTATGCATATAGGATGAGCGTGTGTGTGTACTTACGTATGCATATAGGATGAGCGTGTGTGTGTACTTACGTATGCATATAGGATGAGCGTGTGTGTGTACTTACGTATGCATATAGGATGAGCGTGTGTGTGTACTTACGTATGCATATAGGATGAGCGTGTGTGTGTACTTACGTATGCATATAGGATGAGCGTGTGTGTGTACTTACGTATGCATATAGGATGAGCGTGTGTGTGTACTTACGTATGCATATAGGATGAGCGTGTGTGTGTACTTACGTATGCATATAGGATGAGCGTGTGTGTGTACTTACGTATGCATATAGGATGAGCGTGTGTGTGTACTTACGTATGCATATAGGATGAGCGTGTGTGTGTACTTACGTATGCATATAGGATGAGCGTGTGTGTGTACTTACGTATGCATATAGGATGAGCGTGTGTGTGTACTTACGTATGCATATAGGATGAGCGTGTGTGTGTACTTACGTATGCATATAGGATGAGCGTGTGTGTGTATGGTTGTTTGTGTATTCCATGTTTCGTGCATGCATATTTTCATATTTTCACTTATAAATTTATGTAAGACGCAAGTTCATTTACATTACAATGAAATCCATTGGATCGACATTTCTTTAATTTTTACAATTATAAATCGCATGTATGTAATAGATACACTTTCTCCGTCACTTATAGTCGATAAATTTTGTTCGCTTTTGAAAATAATTGTAAAAATAGTAGATTAATCAACTATGTATATTTACTTTGTTTCAATTCAATTTAACAATTCAATTTAACTTCATTGCTCCAGGTCTGTAAAATTTATAAAATTCATTTCACTGATTTAGTTTAACGATTTTAAATAAAGTAAATTGCAAAAATTTATTATATTTTTACGTCAAGTGCTGAAATTTTTAAAATGATTTTGCAAAATTATTTTCATAAAGTTCGTTACAAAGACGAAAGTCACGCTTCACGCTATTATTCCTTTCTTCGTCCTCAAGTATTCAAGTGTATCCATTTTATTTTCAATATATTCGAAATTTGTTAATTATCTTTAATATTGTATTCCTATTATTAGATGTATTTTTTATTTCTTATTTTTTATTTTTATGATTTCGTACGATTTATAGTTCGAATAATTGCAATGAAATTATTAAATGCTTGAGGAAATCATCGCGGTGGAAATATAAAACTTAATATCCCTAACAATTATTACAAATGCAAAAAAGATGATACAATTACGTTATAAATATTTATTAAGAATGATTATATAATTGAAATTTACGATAGAACATAAACAATAAAAATAAGAAGTACAGTAGATAATACATATAAACAAATACAGATAATGAATGCATACAATCAGTAGTCTTAGAATAATATTAATATTTTTCTTTCATTTTTTAATTTTTTACAGAAAACAATTATATGAATCCTAATTGTATTTATTCTAAAGTATAAATATGATTCGACATTGATGAATGTGTGGTTTTATTTATTTTTTTTTTTTCTTCTTTTTTTTTTTTTTTTTTTTTTCTTTTTCATAGGATTATTACAATTTAATTGATTTGTAGTTGACTCGAATGCCTTATTAAAGTAAGTTAAACAGTATATTGTAAATTATAAATTGTAAATTGTAAATACGATTTATCTTAAACATAAACCATTAGCTGTTATTATGGATTGTGTAAATTAGCAATTATTATGCCTATAAAATTCTTTATTTATTATTATTAATACCATACTCCGTCCTGTACCAAAGTAATAAAAAAAAAAAAAAAAAAAAAAATGACAAGAATTTTAAGTATTAGTAGATAATAAACATGAATAATTAATTAATTGTAATTATACATTCATATTTACATCTTCCAACATTCTATGATTTTCACAATTCAATCACAGTTTCGACGAAATTACGCTTTTGGAATGGCAAAAAAAAATACAAAAACTTGGTCTTCGATCATAATGAGATTTAATAATGTCGATGCTCTTATTTTATTATTATTTTAATTTCTATGGCATCATCCGGTCAATACGATGAATAATAATATTCAATTATTTACTATAAAGGCAATATGTAGGTAAATATATTTCTACTCGGACAATACACAGATAGAGCTGAAGGATCGTAATCGAATGTATTTGTTTTTTTTTTTTTTTCATCATAATTTAACGTTTTTTATTTAGATAATATCATTAATGCCGAAGTTGTATGGGAAATGAATTATTAATTATAAAAGCAGATATTTAATTGTATGAAATTAAATTAACACGAGTCATGTCGATCTTTACAGAGAAAAATTAATTATCGTATTCGAATTAATTTCCCATCGAGTAACTTTCTGACTCATTTAATACGAATGCCATCATTTAATTATATTAGGAAATTTTGTTTGTTTGTTTTTTGTTTTTTTTTTTTTTTTGTTTTGACCTTTATAATTTATTTTTAGCGAACAATTTTACAGAAGAACGAATTATTATTAAAGCGAAGAATTATATTAATAATGTTATTACCAAATCCGATGTTGATGATATGGCAATTGAAAAAACAATGAAATGGAACATTTCGACGTATTTGATATAATACAAATCCATTGTCAAGAATAGATTAATTTCAAGTGATGTTTGAAGGGATAAAGTGAAAATTCTTATGTTAATTTCGCAATGGTGATTTAAATTTTTCTTTAATAACAGTCAATTTACAAATCTGCTCATTCACTGTTTACAATTATCTGACATTTACAGAGAAAGAGAGGCGAAAGGGAGGTTCAGCCACTGACAAAGATGTACATTTTGTAGTAGTAGGTTATTGGGTGCAGTTCTTTCATTTTCTTTCTTTCTTTTTTGTATTTTCGTTTAATTAGAAAGAAGGAGTTGGACGGGTGCGCGTATAATTAAATCTAATATTCTTGTCCATTCAAGGCATTGAGAATCAAAATGAGTATTAGTAAACATCGAATGGCTGTATAATGAATTTGTTAATTTTTCAAATTAATTTCGTATTGCATACAATATAATACTCGATTTTGATCATCAAAATTATATTCCTTCCCTTCAATTTTATCTCATATGTCCTTCCATCGTTATTTTAGGTGAAAGAAGAGACACAATGAACTAAGCGGACTTGTACGTGACTTTTTATTAAAAAGTCTCCAACTTTTGCATTAAGGTAATAAACAATACAACTGGACTTTGATTTTATTATTTGGTGTAGTAACTTTGTAAAATGCGCAATTAATCGAAAGAGTAAGATAAGTAGTATAGAAACGAAGATAGATAGAGATAGAGATAGAGATAGAGATAGATAGATAGAGATAGAGAGAGAGAGAGAGAGAGAGAGAGAGTGTGTGTGAAAGAGAGAGAGAGAGAGAGAGAGAGAGTGAGAGAGTGAGAAGACGCGAGAGATAGTGCGTGATAGGAGAAGAGTGGGAATGGTGAAATTGAAAAGGAGACATAATAAAAAGAAGAAATGAGATTTAGTCCGTATAAGTCGTTTAAATAGTCAGCCGCAGTCTCTCTCCCCCAATTCGACGCCTCGTCAGTAGTAGGTTTTGTCGTCGCTGCCGTCATTTGCCGTGCTATCGTTGTAATTACTTGGCACCCGGAATCTTTCCAAGCACCTACAAACATTGACGTATTTAAGAATTTGTTCTCTACTTTTCAAGAAAAGAGATGGTCAGAGAATGAGTGAGTGAGTGAGTGAGTGAGTGAGCGAATGAGTGAGTGAATGAGTGAGAGAGATAGAGAGTGAGAGAGAGAGAGAGAGAGAGAGAGAGAGTGAGAGAGAGTGAGAGAGAGTGAGAGAGAGAGAGAGAGAGCGTGCACGAGGTTGAGTTTAAAATTTTTCTGTCCTATAGTAATATAATGAGTGTAAATTATTAAGATATTGGGTAAGAGCACAAGTTTCACGCTGAGAGCTTATTTTGAAGTCTTTAATGGGTTATCCGAAGTTAAACTTTTCCGTCATATTGAAAAATGTTTCGTATTTTCCTGTCTTAATGTTGCGAGAGTTACGTATTCAAGGACGACATTCGATTCATTGAGCAATTATTTTATTTTTCAATGGAAAAATTAAAGGCCTAATAAAATACAATTGGAATTTAATATAAAATAAAAACTTATGCCTTAAAAGCATCGTACAATTAACAAAATATAAATATTACAATTCAGAGCAATGTGTGATAAATTCGTTTTAATAAACAAAAAATTAATTTGTAAATAAGATTTTCATAAAGAATAATATGAATTTTGTAGAGAAATCGACTGACACGGAATTTTTTTAGAAAATCCAGTTTGCGGAGAAAATAGATAGGAGGCTTAATGAGAAGAGTAATATTTAAGGAAACGTGGTTTCAATTTATGCACATCTCTCTCTCTCTCTCTCTCTCTCTCTCTCTCTCTGTCTTTTTAATGAAATTAAAAAAAGATGTATTTCAATAATGGACTTACGATTTTCAAATCTTAATCTAACGTGTAGATAAGAAAATATTTATCAATGACAAGTGATACAGTAATAGTATTTAGATGATTACGTTAATTATTAAAATACAAATACAAATATAAATGCAATTATTGCTATTATTTATACTAATTCCTATTATTTTATATTTTATTAAAAATAATATTATAATCTATAATATTAGTTATGGTTACTTTTTTCACAGTTTAAAGATCGCGTGTTTTCTTAAAAAATATCCTTTTATGGTAATTTGGTAACAATATTAGTGCAAAACAAATATAAATAAAAACAAAAAAAAAAAAAAAAAAAAAAAAGTCTACAGTCATGTACGTGCGTATTAGTAAAAGTATCGACATGATTAAAAATAATAAATTGCCATACGCAGTTGGAAATAAATATTTACTTAATTTAATATTGACATACTAATAATAAACATCAAATTGCACATCTATGCTAATCAAAGTAATTTAAATCTACTTAATTGACAACGAAGGTCTACATTATCAAGCACTACATTTTAATAGAATAAAATTATCTGCTAAATGTAATGTTTTTTTTTTTTTTTTTTTTTTTTTTTTTTTTTGTACATTATATGATAATATAGGATCTTCCATAAAATTTACCGTATACTCAAATCATATAGTCGTATGAATTTTCAAATATTCTCGATTATTCATTTGATGTATGCCAAATTAACTCTGAATAATGTAGAATTGATGACTTCACGGGTAAATAAAGGCATGAATATATAAAGCCATTGCATTTAGTAATTAATTTGAGAAAATTGGACCGACCCTATAATACGAAAATCCCTACAAAATCAAAAGACCTATATAACATTGTAAATACATAATTTTTATTCTAACGACGAAACTCATCCTACGGGAGGAATGTGCAACAGAATGGTATTCGTGATGTAATTTATAGTCCATCGGTCCACGTATCAATATACGGCTTTTAACGAAGAAGAGAACTCTATTTCCGTAACAGCGTTAATCCATCCAAGTACCAGCAGTGGGCTGCGAACGTAAGATGCGGTACAGAGGATTCCATAAGCACAATTGTCTCTAGGTAATAAAGCTACGACGTAATTAGGGCGTTGATCAGGTCGACGTGTTCGCCGATCGTCCAACTTCCCGTCCTCCGTCCTCTGCTCGACCAAGTTCAAAACGCATTATTTCCAACTGGACGCAACTATAAAAATACACGTGCTCGCACATACGGTACGTGCATGTATGCGTGCTTGCGCACGCCGTTGGGTTGTTTGTCGCCTGTCGTGTATCGTGTATCGTGTGCGTGTGCGTGTGCGTGTGCGTGTGAGTGCGTGCGTGCGTATGTGTCGTGTACAGGGGGCACGCGATGAAGGTTGTGGACGGTCCTCGGGCTATCCGATAAATTTTCCATTGGGCGAGTAAAGCCGGGCGTCGGCGTGTCTACTTTTTAACCGGCTCGGGCGTCTTTTTCTTCAGTCTTACTTTCGAGAGGTCGACTCCGGTGAGCGCCTGAACGGCCGGGGGCACCTGGCCGACGAGGCGCGTTATCTCGCCGCTCGTCCCATCGCTGCCTCCCAGCAGCACAATGTCCTCGGTCCTAGCGAGGGGCGCCGCCACTTCCGCCGCGATCTGAAACAGAGAGGATCGCACGTGAGGTCGGGACATTGGATCAAGGGTTACCACTTCCGAACGCTTGACGGGACGTAAACGAATGAGAAGGCGGTGTGTGGGAAGGGGCCGGGACGGGAGTGTGTCTGTATGCGTGTCTCTCTCTGTGTGTGTGTGTGTGTGTGTGTGTGTGTGTGTGTGTATGTGGGGGGGGGGGGGGTGTGATTAGAGCCAGCAGGTTGCGAATGGAATGTAATCGAGTGGAGTTGACTGGAGTGGAGAGTCTGAAAGAATTTGAAATCGGCAGATATAAAGAGAGTTTGGAGGAGGGGAGATGATTTATGAATATTTAGGCGGAGGAGAGTGCGAAGTGCGGGTGAAGGGATAAGTGGGCTGTGGAGCGCTCCGCGACGATGACCATCGACGAGGACAAATGTTTGATAGGCGATTAAGGAATATGGCATCTCACCTTCGGCATCGCGTTGAGCACGAGATTAAGCACCGCGGCGTCTCCATATTTGTTATAAACATTGGCCTTCATGTGCATGCGCTCGGCCTCGGCGATACCGATCGCTTGAAGCGCCTGAGCCTCCGCCTCGCCAATGAGTCTAATCCGCTCGGCCTCGGCCTTGGCGGACTCGACCGTCTGAACGCTGAAAGCAAGACATCCTCTCGTCAGTATTCCATCGCTCCTTTCTTACTCCTTTTGCCTCCCTTCCACCCTATTATTCCCGTTTAGTCGCGCTCACCGCTTGCCCTCGGAGACCTTGCCGATCTTGTAGCTCTCGGCCTCGGCCGGTAGCCTCACGGTGCTCTGTAACTCGTGCTCCTTCCTGCGCACCTCCTGCTCCTCCACCTCGATCTGCTTGCGTCTCTCGACTACGTCGATCTGAATCTCCTCGTTACGTATTCGCTGGCGGATCTTTGCCGCCTGGAGCTCGTACGCCAGCTGCGCTTCCGCTTTCTAATGGCAATTGTAGATTTAGAGCCGAGGGTCGTTTACCTCTGTCACGCCATCTCCGTCCTCGTTTATCCCTTGTTTTAACGTTTCCGCGAACAATTTGGCGTATGTGGTTTTGAGTTTGCGGGGAGAGGTGAGGAGAGGAGGTGGAGGAGAGAGGAGGATTTCGTCCGACGTCTTTTTTCGACCGTGCATTGTTCGAATTTTCATAGCAATTCGCTACTTTTGGCGCCCTTTTCGATGACAATTTTATCGGCAAAATGGCCAAATAAACATTCACGAATACTTAACGCGGATTTTTGAAGCTTATGACACCGTTGGCGCATTACCGCGCGATTTGTTTCAAACGTTCAATGCTCAAGGTGAAAAGTAATTTTTACGGTAGACGAGTTGCATTATACTCTAAACGGCTAGTAGTCGTTTATATCTGTCAAGAGATCGGTACTCTTGACGACGTATCTTAATAAGGTTCCATTGACAAACCTTGAATCGTTAATCGTATGAGATGAATATTACAGACCATAGAATATTATCGTATGAAATCGTTAACGTATGTTAACGTTTTTCTCAAAAACTCGACGGAGAGAAAGCTCAGTAGGTAACCAAATTCCATTTTCTTCTCGCGATTTAATTTTAACGATCGCTTATTGTATCACTCGATCATCTTAAAGTAATTGCTTAAACGACTTATAGCGCAGTTTGGCTTTTCTCCCAGAATTAATAGTGCATTAGACGACGTTAATAATTTAACGTTGTAAGCACGTGAGACGATTGAAAGCGTAAATTTATACTTCTAATTTTGACAATAGTACTCGACCACTTATTTATTACCGAATACTTTCGGTATTCCAATTAATATCGCACGCCCATCGATTATTACGTTTTAAACAATCAATCGCACTGATTTCATCTGCGTATATAAAAATGTCTTATTAAAAATTAAGTCTTGAGTGAAAGTGAAATCAAAGTGCATTTCAAACGTAATTGGATAACGATAAGTAACTTACTGCCGTGTTGACTTCTTGATCGAAGTTTGCCTTTTGAAGTTGATACAATCGGGCGTTATCTTCAATTTTCGTGTCGGTATTGTATTTGATGTCCATCGCTGCCTTCTCGCATTCCGCTTCCTAACGATCGAGAAAGAAACAATGAATTATCATTCCGAATTTCACCAAGTAACGGACTTTCTTGACAATAATTATGGCTGAAACTGAAACTGAAAATACATTATGGTATTTCCAATTTACCAATACATAAATTACAATTTGCCAAATGACAAAAAGCCGAATGACAAAAAAAATTCTCTTGGATAAACGTGCCGAGAGCAAGTGATTTGAGAAATGAGGACGAGTGGATGCTGTTGAAAAGTCAATTCCGGATTTACGGGCAAAAATGACGTGCAAGCGTTGCGTGAAACGTGAAATCGCTGCTTAATCTTTAAATAAGGACGCTCATATAGAAAGATCCCGAAGGAGCAGGTATTGGAAACATTTTACTTCATAGCAATCAACAATGATTTACCCTGATTCCGGCGTCCCTGTTGGCCTCAGCCACCCCAACGTCGGCGTCCCTCTTCACGGCGGCCGTCTGAGCTTTGCCCAGCGAGGCCAGGTACTGCACGTCGTCGTATACGTCCTTAATGGTGAACGAGAGGATCTCGATACCCATGCGACCGACATCGGGTGCAGCTACCTCCCGTACCAGGGCAGCGAATTGGTCCCTGTCCTTGTAGACCTCCTCGACCGAGAGTGTGCCTGGAGGGCGGGGGGGGGGGCAATAATCAGTTATTCGCTTATTATTATTGGCACGCTCGGACGTTTATCATTTTACGGTAACCTCGTGCCAATCGACGTTTCTTTCAATCTCACCGAATAGCGAAAAGCCTCTTTCTCACTCAACACTGATTTTTGAAAATCCACTGATTTTTTGATTTGTCATACATGAAGTGTTAAATGGCTCTGGCCCCGATACCATCGTCATTACAAATGACAAAAACAACATTCGTCGCGCATTGTTGCCATTGTCTCCGTCGTCGTCATTATTATTATTTATTATTATTATTATTATATTATCAACCGACATTTATCGTTTATCGCAATGTGTTAAAATTATTTAAAAATTCTCCGCTAATTTAAAATTGTCGTTGTAAAGATTTTATTGCCGCATGCGCATCGATCGTAAGTATTGTTGATTTATTGAAAATCATATGCGTACACGAGTATTCGTCTGCGAAAGAATTTTTCTTATTCAAAATGCCGAATATGACGCTGCGAGAAAATCTTCGACCTTTGATAGATTTGCCCGTGCAATAAAGCAAAAGCTGCGAAAGCAAGAGCCGAATGATCGATCGGATTCGATCGTTAAAGTACACGGGGTGAATCGAACGATATACTCGATTACATTCCGTATTCTTTCGTACCTCTACATTTAAATGTCTCGAAGTTTTTCAAAAATTTGTACTTTACGAGCTATTGTTGCAAAATTACGAAATTACCCGGTCAGGTTATATGGCAAGTCATTAAATTGCATTTTATCCTCAAATGTGGGCTGAGGAATTATCGAGCCACCCCCCCCCCCCCTTATCCAGCCTCCACTCCTTAAACACCAGCGTCTATCAACTTAATTATTAAATTATTGAAAGGCGGGAAATCGGCAGCCAGACGCCTGAGGCAAACAATCGAGGCAAAATCACACACGAATCAGCGTTCCTGAAAAAAGTCGCCGAGAGGACGTAGCGAGAGACTGTGTGGGACGAACCGAGAATAGCCCGAAGATGTCCCTCGAGGGTGGAGAGTATGGTAGACTTGATCTCGTGTACGTTCTTGCCGAGGAACTGTTCACTGGCCGTGTGGAGGAGCTCGTCGGCCTTCATGATCTTGCACTGGGCGACTCCGGTAACGGTGAGCGGCACCCCCTGGGCAGTCTCCACGCTTTCGCAGACGGGGTTCAGGGTCATAACCTCGAGCGAGAGCCGTTGCACGTCCGTGACAAACCACCAGGTGAACGCGTAGCCACCGACGATCGTGCGCTTCTTCATAGAGCCGCAGCATCCGCCTGCAATTAACAAAACAAAAAAAAAAAAAACAAGTCTGTAATTTAGTCGGTTTACATTTATTTGTGCCGGCATCGTTTTCTGTTCATGCACGAAGAAATTATTGTGTCCCTACCTTGGCTGCTCCTACATTTATTTCGTTTATTCAACGACTTTGGGAAACGTTATTGACTACCTTGTCTCGTCTTACGTCACAGCCACACGGTCCAACGAACAATCCCGGACTCTTATTTATACAATGTTCGCTTAAAATCCCTTTTGAGTATTAGGATCGCGTCAATTATAATACGAGGAGACAAACGCTAATGGAGGTTAAATAAATTGGACATGCAGCTTTCGCGAACGTCCGTCCCATTGATACATTTATTTATAATAGCGATTATCGAGTAGTTGATAGTTGAATTAAATTGCTTATATTGATTAGCGATTGGTGACTTTTGTGCCTCAAATATTGAGCATTAAATTTTTGTCTTATAACGAGCGACGTATAGATGCGAAAGACTGCAAAATTTTATTTGCTTCATAAACATAACAGCAGGTATCGGAGTAAAGAGAGAACGTTACGATATTGAAAATTCTATTTATTTCTAATTCTCTTAATAATTTTATTTATAAATATGACATATGACAATAAGCGTGTGCGTTTATATGGAACAAAACAAAAACAAAACAAAAAAAAAAAACAAAAAAAAAACAAAAAAAAACAAAAATAAAAACAAAAAAAATATTAATTTAAGGATAAACGATCGTTAATGAGTGATTCAAGAACTGTCGAGCTCCGGTTATGGTAATATTGTCCGTCGGCGATGCAATTTATCAGGTCGATAATATAAAATGGTCGATCAGTCGGAATTGAAACTGAAACGAGAGTTATATAAAGTGCTGATCAAGAGTCAAGTGTCGCTCGACATAATTTAGCACAATCTCAACTTAACGAACGTCTCTTCGTTGCGAAATGGAAGACGATTTGATAATAAACTCGTGCTCTCTCTCTCTCTCTCTCTCTCTCTCTCGAAAGGCCAACCATTCAATCACGCGAATAAATAACGCGTTCCTGCATTGCAATTAAAATCCACCAAGTTTATCTCCCATCGGAATTCGCTTCTGTATAGCGAATAGCGCGGGGAAAGCGAAACGGCTGTAGCAGCATATTATTATAATTGCAAGATGTTCCAATTGTGTATTGTGTCCTTAATTTCTCCCTAAAAATGCGGTACTGCCGGGACGAAGGGAAAATGTCGGTTCGAAGAATGAAAAATAATTTATCGGTCATTGGTCGGTGATCCCACCGATGTGCCTCGGTCGAAAAAATTCAATTTTCCCATCCTTTGCGCCATCCAAGCGCTCCTTTCAAAGTGAAATTTCGGGCGCAAAAACCGGCCCCGTACACCGGCACAATCGCCGTATCATCATAAAACATCATAAAACATCTCACGACAGCGTCTCACCATTCGGGCATCCCCATCTCCACCGGCTTACCTCATGATCGAATTTTTCTTCTCGTCACTCGATGAAAAACGAGGGGACGCCGATAGGCTCGACGACGCGTACGTGACGCGCAACAGGTACGCGCACCGCGAGAGTAGGTCAAACTCCCGCAAGTGTGACTTACGTTTTCACTGCGGGCGTTGCGCGCACCTCGGTGAAACGAGGCAGAATGAACGAGGCAAAGAAGGCAAGAAAAGAAAATGACTAATAATAATGAAGGGGAAGAGTAAGTCGGAACTTCAATTGGATTTCGACGATTTCGTAGACTCGCGACACGGAGAAATTTCTCGATGAAAAACGTCGGCTGGCATCTTCGCGTGCCTGCGCCTTGTTTCTCTTTTGCCTACCATCACGGCCCATCTCGCTTATAGAGACGTGGCGCGGGGAGGGGAATTGTCTAGAAGGTTCGGCACTCGCGTTGCCGCTCGTCATCTAGGAAGGAAGCGTCGTCGTGGCTTGGCTAACCGAGACTCGCCACTTCCTTCCTTCTTCGCACAATTATCCTCTATTGTGCACATCGGGGCACAGAAGCGATAATTGACTGCCTAAATTAAAGTTACATCATACAGGGATAGAAAGTGTGGAATCGAGGTCGAACGTACCATGGACAACGACGTTCGTTTAATCATCCGCGCCTACATTCGCGCTTCTATGCTTACAAGCACAATTATCACAAATTCATTTCTCCAATTTTGTCCAATTTCACCCAATTTCACCTTACTATTCACCTTCGTTAAACCATTGCGCTAATGAATTATCGAGTAGCGGCGAGTTTACACCTTAACCGAGCTTTACTTTTACGACATTGCTCGATTATACCATCAAATCCCATGATCCATGGATACTCTTCCGTTAATTGCTTACGATAATTAGTCGATTATCGGGAATAATCGCGGCATCGCATAATAAAAGTCGTTTTTCAGCAAAGTACAATGTCAGTTGGTCCACCACCAGCTTGTTTGTTGTACGTTCTGATCTGTTAGCTACAGAATTTTCTACTATTTAGGAAATGGTGGGAAATTGTGGTGCTAAATGTCCGGGGCCAAAAAATTTTCCCCTACGACGTACTCGGCAGGATTAAGTAAGTGAAATAAATGCTCGATGCTTTCGTGCACGTTTTGCCAATGATTTGGCACTGCGCCATAACATTATTCGTCACACCCCATGCAATTGTAATAAAATGAACGTCCGACAATACGTTACGATTGTCCAAATTGTCCAAAATTCATGCGTCGATTACGTTTTGGACGTTTCGCGAGTTTGCCGTCGGTGTGACGTACTTGACAGTAAAGTATCGCTAATGAGGAAGTACAGTGGTACAGCTCAATCGGGTAGCAAGAGATACTCTCTTACGGCTATAATCCACGTTACGTCTTTCGTGAATCCGATATAATATTAAATAAAATAAATAAAATAAATAAAATAAATAAAATAAATAAATAAATAAATTTAAAAATAAATAAGAATGAGAAAAGAAGATAACAAAATAAAAAGAGGAAAAAAAATTGTCATTGTCCTATGATAATATTTCAATGCGGACTGCAAGCTTATAAGCAATTTTTCTTAAGAAACGAATTACGTTAATTATATCGCCACAACAATTAATGAAGATATATACATGTTAATAAATCCCTCGCTTATCCCACTATCATACGTGTTCGCGTACTCTCTCTCTCTCTCTCTCTCTCTCTCTCTCTCTCTCTCTCTCTCTCTCTCAATATACCGAATTCTCGTGATTAATGCAATTATTGATAAGGCTAAAAGAGACGGTAATTTGGATAATTTGGATAATTTGGATAATTTGGATAATTTTAATAATTTTAATAATTTTAATAATTTTAACATTGCTTTCTCTCTCTATCTACTGTGCCAATTTAAACGAGCGAGCGTAAGTCGATCGTGTCTTAGCCGCGGGATAACTCGCACTCGACACTTTTATCTAACTCAACTTATCCGACAAAGTTTGTCTCATCGTAACATTATCGCTATGCGCAGTCGAATACGTGATGTATCTTGCGATTCGTGCGCGGCTTCTCATTATTAATTAGCGCTTACGGCTCGTTAATAAGCCCAGGAATTTTGGAAGAAGATTTTTAAAGAGATTCGATGACCAGTTGATGCTATGGTACGTCGAGGGAGCTTGGCAGTGCAGTCACGTCGACGACTTCATTGTCTTCCTAGGGACGACTCACTACACACAGGTCAGAATTACAATAAAATTTTGCTTTGTCTCTCAACTTTATGTAATCGTGCTTTTACCAAACTCCATTGACATTCGTGACTTATTACGGGCTCGAGCCGGAGATTCCGTGCCTCTTGCTCGAAGGAATAAAAAAGAAAAACACATCTTTCCTTCATTCTTTCCATCCTTTCTTTTATTTGCTCGTTCTTTGCTCGTTCTTTGCTCGTTCCTTTGCCGTTCATTTTCTCTCCTTGTTTGTTTATGCTCGTGAAGCATCGAGAGTGGCTCGCGCGAGCTCGACTCACGGCCCAACACGATTTTACCCGCGCTGCTTAATTCTTATAATCCCATTTCGCGAATCCATATTATCGCGAGAAAGTGCATTGAAAGTTTTGTTGTCAATTTATTTGGCGCGCAAGATACGCGTGTACATCGGTGTGTCTCCTTTCTTAGAAAATGGAACTATTATTCTGCCTTGGAGGTGAAGAAGTAAGTCAAGAGCGTTCGATGCTAAATGTCCTACTACACTCGCGAGGAGAGAGTAAAGTATATTTACATTTCAAGTCCAAGTGTACGTTTTTCTTAGTTATCATATTGGCATTTCATGCGTACGATTATCGTTCAAGTCATTCTCACGAAACATGAATTCGTAACTAATGAAGCTGCAGGCGTAATATTAAGCAGCAGCATTAAGCCTATGGATTGTCATTAAATGATTTGTTAAAATGATTTAATAGCTATTAAGTCTACTATTAAGGCTATTAAGACGCAGCAGATCTATCAAAGAAGACGAATTTCGAATTCGCTTAGACAGTGATAGATGCGATAGGCGATAATCGACGATTATACACTAAATTAATGTCTACATGATATGTCTATGAGGTAACGCTAATTCAACAAACGAACAAACGAACGAACGAACGAGCGAACGAGCGAACAAACGAACAAACGAACAAACGAACAAACGAACAAACAAACAAACAATAAAATAACGTAACAAGCCAAAGTTTATAATTCAATTTTCAAGTTCTAAGCGAATTAAAGCAAAGAGTAAATTAGTTTATAAATAAATATTTTCAATAAAGCAGGGATAAAGTATTAATAATAATATCATAATAGTTATAATTTTTGCCATTGACCGAGGCTTCTTATGTTTCCTACATTCGATGAAGATGATCTTGAATTGATCTACGTTTCATAATTTATAATTTCTTGAGTAATTCTATTATTCATGGCATTTTACGTATTTTATAATTATCTAACGAAAAATCTAACAACAAAATAGCAATGTAATTGTTTATGAAACTTTGAAATTGAGAATAAATGGATCGTGACGCAAAATTACACTAGAGCGTAAATATTATTTTATATTTAATAAAAGTTTTTCTCATCTTTTTTTTTTTTTTTTTTTTTTTTTTTTTTTTTTTGATTTTTCTTTTTTGTTTTCTTTTTTGTTTATATTTTACTATTCGGATGGTCTTTAATCACCTTGGTCTTTAATCGCATTTATCGTAAATGCAATGTAAACTAGGTGGAAGATTATAATCGCTATGATAAAATAAATGGATAGTCATTGGTTTTGTATATACCATTGGCATTACGGATAACTCGGTACGGGCAATAAATAATCCAATGTATATAAGCAATATTTATTAGCGCTGCCCGAGTGAATAGAAAAAGAAATCATTTTTTTCGTTTAAGAAAGAACGAGTAAACTCTAAATCTAAAGATTGCCGAGCGAATAATCCTCATAATAATCCAGGCGGGGCTCGGACTCGATCAGTTTTAATCAGCCGTTAAATATAGGTCGATCGATTAATAGCGAAAATATTTCATAGAGCCCGACGCAACAGAATTATACAACATGAAGGAAGGCACGAAGTTCGGGGGACCGCAAAACCACGTAGGAGCGAGCGAACGAGACGGCGACGCGTCCGAGAGAGCGAGAGAGCTAAGGACGGGCGAGCACGCGCCGTGGTACCGGGGGAGGGGCGGCGACGATGGCAGCAGCGGGAGGGGATAGTAACCGTTAGTCGGAGGGCGGAACCCGTTCCCGAGTTTACGGTCCGTTGACCCCCTCCTCTCCTGGAGCCGCCGTAAGCGAGCGCACCGTCCACGAGAGTCCGATCGTCGCGCAAGGTCACGGCCGCGGATAGATCTTCAGCGCGGCTGGTCTCGTTAACCGCGCCGCCTCCGCCATCACCGCCGCCCTTATTCGGATAGCCTCGCAGGGGGAAGATCGTGGAGTCGCGGGCACGAGGAGAGGGCGCGAGAGGGAGATAATAAGCGATTCTCGGCATCGGCGTCGGTTGACCGTTAACACCCGAGCGTTCCCGATGGAATCGGTTTGCGGTGCTCGGGAGCGTCGTCAAGTTAGTCCTGCTCGAGGAGGCGCTGCCACTATCATCTTGAACTATCTATCGCATTGGGGACGAAACGCCAAGACGAAGACGCATTGATTACTCTAGTGAATATGCCGTGACTAGTGCCTGTAATTTACAAAGGACCGAACGTAATTTTTAGGGTGCTGGTTTAGCTTACGATCAAAGACAGAGGGAGAGAGAGAGAGAGAGAGAGAGAGAGAGAGAGAGAGAGAGAGAGAGAACGTGAGATAAAAGAATTATTATTATTGTGCTGGTCAACATCTCTGGGACCGTTGGTTTCTTTCAAGTCAAGCGAGCCTTAGCTACATACCAATATGCAACTCATACGCTACTTGGCCTGGAATATTGTAAATACAATATTTATTATTATTTATTCTAATATTACATACCCAAATTTTAACAATAATATATATATGTTTTTTTTTTTTTTTTTATGTAAACGACAAGGTGGATCACAATTTGTCCTTAAATCTGAAACTGTTTATCGTAATAATGTTTATGTAAGATTTCTATGCATTCGACATTTGTATTGTTTACCGTACATGTAATACCATATGTGGTCCCATGTATGCGTACTCTCTCTCTATGTGTGTGCAACCATTTCTAAGAACAAACGTTCAAAACAATTTAAAAACAACAATGCCTCGTGATTTTTAAAAATACGATGTTATTTGTGCGTACATCGTTAAAAGCGTAAATTCGTTACGTATAAAATAGTTTTTGTAAAATGAATCATAATAATTACATCGTCCATTATTGATAAATATTATTTTAAATTGAGAATATAATTTTTATAAAGAATTTAGAAATAAATGAAGAACGTAACGTTCTTAGCTACATTTAGACTTCCTCTGTTATTTTGTTTACAAATTTTTTTTATAAACATTATTATTAATATAACAAGTTTCAAAACAAAATATAAAAATATTATATAACCAATGTCAAATTTGGAATTTAATCATCGAATAAATGAATCACACTTATATTACTTTATATATATATATATTTTTTTTTCTTTTCTTAAGTAAATTAAACTTATTGTTTTATAGGAGTAAAAATTCATTGTTTTTAAATTAATTTCTTATTCTCTCCGCCAGCCCACCCCTCCCCTATTAATACCGATCATCCGGTTAAAGAGCAATGGCTAATGTAATAGGCACGCGCGCGCATACACGCATACACGCATTAATAATTACGTGCACAATTAATAGAAATAAAAATATTTTTATTAGTTATATATCGTATGAAATTGTTAATTACTAATGAACTTGAAGCTTAGAATCTGTTAGCTTTGAAATTAAATGTTAATTTGTATTTCTAATTAAAACAAATTTTTTATTATTATTTATTCGTGCACTCGACGAAGGATAGATTTACATTTTTCTTCTTTTCATAATTAGAATGCATAATATTTGGATTTGTAACTTTTAAAATGATATGAGGAAAACAGTAATGAAAAGGTAATTTATACTTTTCTTATATAAAATTACCTTTTTTCAATTAATAATGATGTATTATCTAATCAATATGCACAGCATATATGAATTACGTGTTTCCAATTGATTTATGATTTTGTAATTTTAACCTTTTTATTAAATAGCGTGATGAAGAATAATATTATTCTTCTGATTTAAAATTACATTACAATTTGTTGCACGAGTAAACATATTTGAAAATAATGCTGACTAAAATGTTGCACGATTGTCTATCCAAAGACGAATTATAGAAGAACCGAATCGATATAAGAATGACAATTAATGTGTATCCTCGGTCGTTTTAACCTCGGCACAAGCAATTACCTTCTATTTGATAATTTTATTACAAAAAATACATTCTCACGTTCCTCTATTTCACCTTTTCGAAATCGATATGTTTCACAAAATCGTTTGTTTAAAATGCACATTGATACGGTTTTCACAATCTCCAATGACAACAGAATGACAATGACCGGCCGTGATGATCCGTACTCGAGATATTATTGTAAAATTTGTGAATGATTCGTTAGATCGCCAATGTACCTACATAAAAAGATACGAAATTTCAGTATAATAGTTTATCTTTTGCAATATTATAGTCAAGTTTTTAATAGTAGCCACCAATTGTTAACAGCACAAATGAGACAAAACATGTAAATAAAAGGGATGGATGGAATGTGAATATTTGAAATTAAAAGTAACTTCTTATTTTTCGGATTTTCCATATAGACCATTTATAGCTGAGTATAAAAGCAGTGTTATTGTATTATTAAAAGCATTCGTGCAATAGTTTTTATTCTCAAAAATACCAACGACACCGAATAAGACAATGTAGAATATATAATAAGTCGGTATAATGAATTTTCGTTAAATTCTGTTTCGCTATTTCTCTACGAATCATACTATTTGTCGATTAAAATGACACAACGATTTTACATTTCACAGATAACGTACTTGGAATTTTTTTTTTTTTTTTTTTTTTTTTTTTTTTTTTTTACTCGCATCAGCGGTTCTAAACATATCCTACATAATTTCTAGAGATCAATGAATAATTCTAGCAGAGCCACATGTAAATTATTATGTAAATTAAAGCAAAAATATCTTTAGGCTTGCGGTCACATATCTTTTATGCAGAACAACTTGTTGATAGAAGTATTTTTTTTTATCAGATATTAATAATTTTTTCTATTATTATTATTTTATTTTCTCTATCAATTAGGTATTAAAATTCATGAAACCTTATGTAATTCGATTAATTATTAATAGTGTGATTCGACTGTTTTTTTTCTTCTTAGCTACACGTATCGCGTAGGCTTAGCGTTTTTACAATTTTGCATTGCACTTTTACAATTCACTGACTGAACACGTACAATCCCCTACTTATTTTAATAGAAAAAGCTCATTAAAATTATCAATACCATTTGCTCGATATATGCGTTTTTAGAAATAACGACGTGATTTTTAAATATCTTATGAAAATAAAGAAAATGTCATTAACTTGGCTAGTGTAAGTTACCATAATTACAGGAGTTTTATATTATATCCTTATGATTTAGGGCGTTAACGATTTCTTCAATACCATTTGCTTAAGTGCGAATTAATTTTTTTATCCTACGCTCAAAAGTTGGATTATACGTAATATTGGAAAGAAGAAATATCAACCGAAATATTCACCAGGTATTATCGTCTCCTTATTTCCTCGTCAGAGCCTAATATAAGCATAATTATAATAACGAGCGCCCGAGTAATACCCATAAAGCATATAATTCTCACAATTCTAATGACGTTGAAACAATGTCCATTTCAGCAGATAGTATTTACGTTTTTCCATAATAATGAAACGGCTGTTGTCTTATTTACAGATTTAGTCTCGACCACAGGCGATGCTTCGACTGTTTGTTGCCTTTAGATTTATAATGATACATCGGAGTTTCATCAACCGTTACGAAAAGACATAAAAATTTCTTCGAATTGCGGTTATGTGTGATCCCAAGACCCAACACCGTGCTCGCAAAGGTTTATATATTTATGTTTTTGATTCATTTTGTGCACATTTTGGCCAACGAGAATATTTCAACACGAAACAATACATATAAAATATTATGCATTTTATCATTTGATACGCTTGGAATTTTTAACATCAAACGCATTCTCAATCCTCCTACATCTTTCGCGTCGTACAATGGGGTTTTCAAGCAATTATCCGCAATTATAATTCTAACAAGTCATACAAAAACTAATCAAAATAGAAAATACATAATACAAAAGATCAGCATAGAACAATAACAAGTAGACTTGACAAATTTTCATAAGCCTGACAATCTTTATATTATCTACCTTATAACGCCCCGTATTCAATCCATGGCAAACCATCCCCTCAAAGTCAATGTCGCAATGGTGCAATTTGTCGGGCACGCCAAAGGAAGGACTTTAAATTTGAAAAAATTCTGCTCCGAAATCGATTTGATAGCACGAATGCCGCCCCGTTTGAATCCATCATTTCCAAATGCAAAAATCATACCAACTCCATTACCTTACCTTCTCAACTTAATTTTGCATTTATTGGTCGGTCATTGACATCGCCACCCTATCATCTCCCAACGAGACTTTATTCGCCTCAATGAACGGCAAAAAAAAAAAAAAAAAAAAAAAAAAAAAAAAAAAAAAAACAAAGAAAAGAAAAGAAAAAGAAATAACAACAACAACAACTCTACCAAAGCTTGACCGCAAACGCTTGCTTACTCTACTCGTTCATTGCCAATTGGCAATTGGCAATTGACAAATGCCCATCGGCATCAAACGACTATTGATCTAATATCGTCGTATCTTCGAGACTACAGGTAGCACATAGAGATGCGATAATTAAGAATGAGAGACGCAACCTGCGGCATCAAGTGAACGACGAGCATCCGGGGGACTCTCGGAACCACGCGACTCCGGGGCTTAGCCTCGGAGGCTCCGAGGGACCGCCGTCGTCGGCAGGCTGTGCTCGGGGCATTTCGGCATCGTGGCTGCACTCGTGAGAAAGTAACGAAAGCTCCCGCGTCGTCGAGTACCCGACGGAATTCGACAACTATAAAGAAGGAAAAGACATTGTTGCTCATTGCCCAATCCGGCCAGGGTCGCGCGTACGTGAGCCACGCGCGGCCTCGGCCTCTAGTCGAGCTCCACCGACATACGTGTCCCGCATGTCTCCGTCCTCGCGATAATAAAGCAATAATGAGTTAAGTAATCCGCGCGAGGATGTTTCAAAAGTACGCGACTCTTGAATTCTCTGACGGGGGGGGGGGGGGGGTTGCCGGCAGCGGCAGCCGGCCGGCGGCGAGCGTTTCCGCAGCCGAGTCGGGCCCTGTGTCTCGGAGAATTTTGATTTATGGGAAATTCGATGGATGATGCTCGACCTTTGGCAACTCGGGCCGCCTCGAGCGCTTTCATTATCGCGGCCAATGATGATGATTCTCCAAATGATTAATCAACCGAGCGCTCGAGCTTTCCTTTAGCGCCACTTTATGGCATCACGACACATTCCATGACATTGAAACATTGGAGAGTATTGGAGAGCGTTAAAGAGCATTGAAGCATCGATATCGAGGGGCTTATTCGGGGCTATTAATCATTAATGTCGCCGCTAAAAATGGAATTTTGCATTATTTCGGCCGCTTTCCACGCCTCTTTAATATTATTGAACGATAGCAGCCGCGAGGCAGCAATTTATACATAATCTGCATTCTTTGGCGATCGCTATGAAATGCAGTTTGATTACGCGAAGAAGATAGAAGAGCGATTCTCTGAGTGCTGTGAAAGAGGTGAAAAAGAAGGTGAACAAGAAGGAGGAAAAAAAAAATGGAAAAAAGAAGAGGAAAGAAAATTGTTATTCCACATTACACGAAGGATAATAATATAAAGACATAATAATATAATTGATCGATTAGTTGCAAAACTAATCGAGATTTATTACTATTAGCTTAGATAATGAATTATGCTATTATATAGTAAGGCGATAAGAGCGTTTACCAATTTTATTAGGTTGCAAGCACGAATTACATTATTATCTCAAGTGAATAAACGATTAAATAATTTTTCCGTATTATTTGGTTTATATCATCGTTTCGATAACATTTTCCAGCTATTGTTGTTGCACGTTTTTAAGATACCCTTAGCCACTTCTGATAATACCTTCATAAACGACCGCTAAAATAACGAATAATATATATATATATATATATATATATATATATATGACGTTGACAATGATGAAAATTAACGTTTAACTAAAACAATGGGGAAATCGTCGGAGCGATATGTCATCGCAGAGCTGTTAAAGCATCAAAATATGGTTTATAAATATTGATTTTTTCATTCGTTTTCAAAAATATTCGTTCATATGCTATCGAACAACTAATTGTCAAGTAATAAATTTCTGATAATAAAATGGAAAATCACCTTTTGTCACATTAATTTGCGTTAAATTTTAATCCAGTATTTTCATGAATTATAAAGGAATTATAAATGTCAGTATGATTATTACGTAAGAAGCTGAAAATTATGTATCTAGCAAATAAAAGAAAATATATTATCGGTATAATTACACAATAAAAAAGAAATAAAATACATATAATTATCGTTTTTATCGTTTTATCTAAGTAAATGTTCGTAATGTACAATTTTTTTTTTTTTTTTTTTTTTTAACTTTATGATATCGACAGCCATGGATTTTCTTTGAATATCATGTTTTCCGGATTCATGGTACATTACATACGCGACAAACAATTTTCCATCTTAAATCAATGAAATTATTAACTCGTCATTATTATATTTGAGCGAATAAAGAATTAAAAAGGCGATTCAATATAAAAACGAAACAGATTTGGTATCCTTAGCTTTCATCCAACCCAATATATATATATACACAAATATCTTGAAAATAAATTCTGGCTTTATCAATATACAATAATATTTTGTATAAAATTTCTTCACACAATCATTGTAATTGCGTACAATCGCTGTGTAATCTCCACGTACGTGAAAAGTTCGGGAAATCATTCGATGAAATCGACTCTCGCAACATCGAGCGCACAATTTCCATGCACTTCGGAGTCTACAATTGCTTTAATTTCAATTTAATTAGCTTATCATTCGCTAAGTGCAAGGCTGCACCGAGTACCAAGACGTACCACCACCGCTAGCTACAAGACTCGTCGTAGCTCATATTTTCCACCGTAGGATAATTAGCACTCACGTGGCCATCGATACTTTGATCGCCCACTGGTGGAGGCTGGCTGTCATCTCCGCGATCTACGGACATCGATCAATGAAATTCTAAGAGGCCGAGCGCTTAAGAAATCAAAGAGTCATCGAGTCGGGCGGACGGCCTCGTGCATTAGGCTACCTAAACCTGCGTAATACGAATAAAAGTACGCGTGGAAGGAAGTGCCCCGGTGTTCGGTTCGCTCGTCCCCACCCCAAGGCACCGGAGGCTGGCGCCGCTTCTGCCGCGCGTCACCGTTTAAGCCCACGGGGATCGAGTCAGTCCGGGGCCGGTCTTACGTCGACAAGCACCATTCGGATGCTAGTGATTCGAGTCGTCCGCGTCACGACCGAGTCTCCCTCCGCTGCTCATCGTAAAATTGCGCTCGTTGCGAAGGCGCATCGACACTTTGCTCTCCTTTTCTGGATCTCGCTCGCGCCGCTTTCATTTAGTTTTTCAGGTAATCGATCACATTGCATTTTTTCCATTTATTTTTTGCTCCCGGCAATCCAATAAACGACCATTAGAGAATTTCGGGGGTCGGTGGACTGATTGTCGTGGTGGTGATGGTGGCGGTGGTGGAGGCAGTGGTGGCGGCCGTGGCGGTAGCCGTGGCGGTGGCCGTGGCGGTGGCGGTGGTGGCGACGTTGGTGATGAAGGTGGTGGTGACGAGGGTGACGGTGGAGATGATTGGGGCAGTAGCTCAAACGGCAAAACTATTAGCTATTCCTTGAAAAATCGGAAGTTTCCCGTATTCTCGTATGTCGACTTGTCATTAGATTTTCCCATTAGATTGCTTCTGATGGCTATTCAGCATCTAACATTGATTTTTTACATTCTATGATCAATTGCAAGTCAATTAATTATCGATAAAATAGCAATACTTTCATCTATTTTGCCTATTTCCGATTCAAATTTCATATTAATTATTTAGCTTTGATTATAGTCGAGTTCTTGAATGTAGAGTTTCGTGGGAATCTGTGCAATTGCTGTCTAAAATTTTTTGTTTTAATTAAATTCAATCGAAATCCAAGACTTTAAATGCTCATTAACAATAGCTAAAATATTTAAAGTTAGCCTCTACAACTTGATTTCTCTCGTAATTTAAGGTATATATATATATATATATATATATATATTATAAACGACATAATTTTCTATAAATATATTGAGTCTTTGCATACATTTAGATTCCAGCATCTAAGACGCAATCCATTCTCATTATTTGGTTACCAATTGTATTGATTCAAAATAAAAAAAAAAACAAAAAAAAAAGGAAAAAGAAAAGGAGAGAAAAAAGTTGTTAGATTTAAAAAGAAAAAAAAACATAACAAAAAATTAAATAAATTCGATAAATGCACTCGTTATAAAGTGCTTAAATATATATTTACATTTCTGAAGAGATAAGTTATGGTTTTATTGAGCAATGGTTTTCGAGTCATTTTAAAATATTATATCTTTTTAAGGAATTAACTCGACACAGTTATATGATCGAGTTTAAAATTTTCAATTGCAGCTCTTCCATTATAAATACGTGCGTTGATAGAAGAAAGTCTGCCACGCTATCGTAATACAAAGCTATTAACTGCAATACCGCGAACATGGATATCCAGAACATATTAACTTCCGCTGCCAATTCGGCGACCGGAAGTCTAAGCTGGTTCTTTCCCACCCTGGCCGCGGCTATTGTCTATTTTCAATACGAGGTCATGGATCCGGAGTCCCTGCCGATCAACGTGCCTTCGGAACTACTACTACCTTCTTATGATTTTAT